GGGGGGGGGGGGGGGGGGGAAATCGTTATGTTCGACGCTTCAGGACACGTCCACAAACGCCTGAAACACATGGCGCCACAGACATCGAGCCAGCAGCGGAGTTAAACGTCTTGCACACTAACACCGTTGTAACACGTTTTCGGCGTGTCATATACTCGATTTAGTCGTGCCTCATGCCATTACCATCACAAAAGAAAGCGATTTGTCATTTACGCAATATATTTCATTAATGAACCTGTCACTTAGCTTAAAAAAGAAACTGACATGCTGTGGGCTGGATAGGTAGGATTCGATGGGATTTTTCTCATCTCTACCACGGAGATCATGGTTGTTAGACCCGTCCAATAAGGCACATTAGCGTTTTCTCGCGGACCCAACTGACTAGGCATGAAGACGGAAAGACAGCCAGTTTCCGAAACGTTGTGGTTATTCTTTTGAACAAAGACGATGGAAAATAATTTTAAGTGTTATCCACCATCATCAGGACGCTTTTGTATTGAATTACACTCTCCATTGCTTACACGTATTTATAACAGTTGAGAATTTCTGGTTCATTTAAATTTTTCTATGGCGTAAACACGAGGTAGGAAATATTCTGTTAGTAACCTTTTATATCGTTATTCAGAATTTTCATAGTGAGGGGAATATTGATGAATAGCTTACGATATCAGTGCTGCTGGCAAAATAACAGGGTAACAAGACATACTTAATCGTGTTACGTTCATGATTAATTATCAGAACTAATATAAACTTTGTTTTTTCTTTAATCGTGACTACTTATAAGTGATTCCACTATGTCACAGTTTCTTAATCGAAAAGCAATTCACAATTATACATTTTTTGTAATCCTGGGGTCTTGGGTTCGATTCCCGGCGGTGCCCGAATTTATAACTTGTGTTGGGCAAGACCATGGTCTAGGCAACACGGAGTTTTCCTCCGGGGGCTTCCCCGGTTTCTCCGTGGCATCCCATTCACACACAGAAGAAGGCAATGGCAAACCACTTCTGGATCATCTGCCACGAACGTATATGAACAGGTCCCAGTCCGAGAAAAGGATGAAAGGATCCTGTTCATATGGACCTGTCGTCAGACAGAACACTAAATAATAATAATAATAATAATCTGTGGTTTCGTAAGGGTTGGTGTAAAATTGTCAAACACAGACATGCTAGTAGCTGGGAATGCCATAGGGGAGACGTCGTTGAACATAACCTAACTTTTACTTCATTAAGGTTGGCTGCACCAGGAATTCGGCAGCCACCTACGTGATTCCTGCGGGCAGAAGTATTCCAGTAGGTTAACCCATTTGTTTGTAGGCATGCATGATTCAATTACACAGTTCTTTTACTTTCGCATAACGTATTACAAACGTATTACAATTTATACATTATAATTACTCCTAAGGAATAATATTTGCTATTAATACATGCCACTACGAGCTCGTAATACCACATTCCTCGTTTTTAACAATTCAGATTCCGTGTGGACTTTTTTGAACGTGACACTACGCAGCCTCGTAAGCACTCACCAACACTTCGGAGGAACGTCCTGCCTTAATTTACTTCTACCCTTAAGACCCTAAAAAGATGTATACACACTTAGTACATTAGCGAATCTAGCGCCGGTGTTTGAAAATGGCCACCGTTAGCTTCGTGGCACAGTTGACAGCGGTGAGAAACTGACAAGCAGCCACCAAAGTTTCTGCTGTGTTTACATCTTTTTGGGGGCATCTTGTATTCTGTAGTAAATGTAATCTTGTCGCAGACGGAAAGAACTAGGCTTTATCTTTTTGGGGGCATCTTGTATTCTGTGGTAAATGTAATCTTGTCGGAGACGGAAAGAACTAGGCTTAGATTTCAAGAAGACAATCGAACGGGACATACTCGTATTAACGTGGTATCCGGCCCGATCTGCCTCTTACAACATGCTACACAACCGTTTGACATGGTTGATGGAGACGTATCATCTGGGATGGGGGATGCTGCGGTTCTGGTACAAGATACTACTTGTCCACCCACCCACCCCCCAACCAAACTCGTCCAGTTGTGAAACTTACAACAGGCCTGAGGCATCGTGAAGATGCTCAACTGTTTTTCCTTATCCTGCAAGCCACTGGAGAGGTTGTTGGGGTGTGGGGGTCACTTATCGGGTTTGCCCAGCAGCTAAAGGGGTAGTTTTGCTGCCAAGTAAGATTACATGTCTTGCCCCTAGGACTAATAGCTTGGCTGAGACTCCTCTTGAAATAATGGGTATTTATTTTCATCCCATTTCCTTCTACAGTTCGTCTAATATAATCCCAGACTGGTTTATTTATCTCATCCTGCGAGCTGCTCCATGGATTTACACGGAGGGGGTGAACAATCCGTGAGCGGGGGAACGCCATTTGCAGAATGTTTTTCAAACTGGAGATACACGTTCTTCCATCTTACAACACTTACGTATTTAACTTTTCGCAAACGTCTTTCTTTATCTTAGTGATGAAAGAACACAGAGTGCTTGAGGACGAGATACAGAAGATACTATTTGGACCTAGGACACGTGACGTAACACGGAAACAGAAATAACTACACGATAAGAGTCTCATTGTCTACACTATTCGCTCAAAATTTATATGATAATAAAGTATAATGACGTATGAAAAGGCGATACATAAAATTCACACTAGAGAGCACGAATATTCTGATTGGAAAACCTAAAGGAAAATATATGGATAATATTAAAAAGCGTTTTAGGGAAGGAGGCAATAAAAATGCACGTTTTATTATAGTAGTGGTCACATCCCACTAAAAAAAACTTTGCGATGACTGTGACCGGCTAACGATGTGTCTAGAACACGTAATTTCTTTAACATATTAATAATAGTTAGCTACTTTGGTAGTCGTTTGCCAGTTACACAATTAGGGAATTAGTCCGTCACGTAAGTAAATAAACAATTACTTAGTAATGTTTAAAGTTATTTGGTTTGTTAATGAATTGGTTAGTTTGTTAGGTGGTTAGGTTCATGTTTATCAGTTGGGTACCAAACCACGCAGTACAACTGGCAGGAATCTAATCGTTACCACTGAATGTCGCTGTCGAGCAGTTGGAACCCCTGCTTCGAATTTCGGAGATTCAGATTCAAAATGTAGGCCCAGAGTGTGATTATTGTGGTCGAGGGGAAAAAGTTAACGATAATAATTTGCAATCAAGCACACACCAATGCAAAGTTTTGATTCCTTTTTAAAATGTTTCGTTAATATAACGGTAGAGATGGCAAAGCAAAGCCTAAATACGCCGGGTAACGTATACGAGGGTGAGTCAAATGAAAACCGTAAAACTGAGATAAAAATTCGAAATATCGCGCCATTGTCCTATAAGTTGGCAGACATGTTACCAATTCTATAAAGAGTATCCTATAGGTGGTAGTATAATGCAGACAAACATATCGCCATCACAAGTTACGTGCACGAAAGAAGAACAACGTTCTGTAATTCGTTTTTTGATCAGTGAAGAATCTTGAAGAATCATCTTCGACCTGCAGTCAGATGAAAGCGACGTGGACTTTTGACTAGAGGTGTCCTGGAGGAAAGAAGTTCCGTTCTGATGAAGAGGTACAGCAGGCGGTACATGAGTGGTTGCGCAGACAACCACAAGAATTTTTTTCTAGAGGAATCCATACACTTCGTAAACGCTGGAGGGCATGTATTGAACGAAATGTAGACTATGTAGAAAAATGATATAGTTGTGTACCACTTTCACTGAATAAATTAAATTTTTTAAAAAAAAATTACGGTTTTCATTTGACTCACTCTCGTATAAACCATTATCAACAATTTCCTTACATCTGTATCCGATGGTAAAAATATAGTTATATAACTTCAACCGAATTTAGAAGTGTAATTACTGTCAC